TCTAGACGATTTGTACTCAGAAGTTTGGACCTCGACATAATTTCGTATTAGAGTCAAGGTGTGCCAGTGGGTTTTCTAATGAACATTGACACAATATGCCCAGAACAATCATGGACAATATAAACCGCCAGACAGATTCCATCAGAGTTCTCTTTGCGTGTAAAATCAATCCACGTGAAATTTATGCAGACAATTTAGAGAGGTGTCTATGATATTAAAATATTTTGTGATGCGTTGAGGTATGATTACAAAACTAATATATGCAGATGGATACCAATAACTGCATAATCTATGATATTCACTTAATTTGCAAATAGATGTAGTGCCAATAACTAATGCAAATAGATGTAGTGCCCATAACTAATGCGATTGAAATTACTTACATACAAAATACATCCTACTACTCAATCACAATTTAGGGTTGCAGACATTCATCTGTTAATTGAGACTTTAATAAAACAAGGATTCTTAAGATGAGTTTTCAAAAAACTACAAAACAAGGACGAGAAATTTATTTTATTCATCAAAGCTGTCATTGTTGATATGTTCATGAAAGAAGAAGGAATAAGAGTGAAGCGGAAATTAAGGTTTAGAGATAGCTATAAATTTATTGGACAGTTTATAGAAAAAAATGGCTAAAATTTAAGGGATGAAAAGTTCAAGGAAATAATGAAAGAGAATGCAAATATGGCACATAAAGCAATGAGACATATACCCATTATGAATACTTGTATGGCATTGTGAGGTTGAAAGGAATAACTGAAATAACAGTAATTATATTTTACCTATCACCTAATGATTCAAATCTATTCAATGACCATTACCAGTATTTACATTATAAGGATTTCAGTGAGACAACAGTTGGAAAAAATCGTCACTATTGTAATATTATTGAGTTAGTTTACCAAAGAAAATGTTAAAAATTACAAACTAGATTCTGCTCGGTGTAATGGTATACAATGACATCAGCACTGTGCCTCTTTTACAGAATTAAAACTATTGACAAACTGGAATGTTACTAATCATTGAGCGCAAAACAAGAGCGGGAAAATACATGATGCCACATATAATCATTCTTAAATAAATCATGAATATAACCTACACATGTATGTTCAGATAACAAATATGATAATGAGTTTGAAAGTACAAGGTCAAGGTCAAGGTAATTCGTTATTTAACCAAAACGTTGACCATGAGTCAAAACTCTAGACGGGCAGCTGATGAATCAGATGGGTGGAAGAACTATGATCTGGATGTCACGTGACTTTGATACCGTTTGCCTTTAAGAAGTGAGTTGAAGATTTAAGTACACTTGGCTATTGAAAGACTATCCGATAGTTAATATAAATTATTTTCGAATGAAATGATGTAACTTCTGAAAATCTCTTATTTTTTATTGCAAAGGTTAACGAACAAAGAAACGAAACTCATATGTACGTTGAAAATAATAAGACAAATATTACATTCACTAAAGAAGCGTTTAATCGTTACATTCTATTAGGTTTAAATCTGAATAAAATACAAATGGTTACATTATTTGGAGACGCCTTATAGTGAGCTTCTATAAATACATGTTTTAAACGGCAAGCCATACATTATTTCGAGAGCTATTTGTTTTCAAATTCACGAACAACAATGCACGTTTTAAAGAAACTCAATGTCGTATGAGAAAGAAAAACAGCAACGATAAAAAAAATATAAAAACAGATGAAAATAATTATTTCAAAGTTTAGAAAATACATAATATTTTACAGAGGAAAATTATTTGCAATGAATTTAGTGTTAGTCAAAATAACATTAAAGACGCCAATTTACTGTAGATTTACAGTGTTGGAGCTATTCAAATAGGAAATATGCGAATTTTATTATATCACGTTGAAAGACAGATAGTATCATATACTGAGACTGCTAACAGTTCATACTGATTCTTTATGCATTCATGATGAGACAGGAAATATTTACAAGGAAATGCGGAATCATATCAAATTCAAAGATATTTTGCCTATAACAAGGAAAACGTATTTGGTTTGCACAAATAAAAAAGCAAATACTGAACGTTTCAAGCCATGTTTTAAGCAATATTCTAATTAGAGAATATTTAGATCAAATTAGTATTCATTTAAGACGGACATGAAATATGCGATAAAAAATTGAAATTTGTTATTCAATACAAAATCAGGAATTTGTTATGATCATTCAAATGCAAGTTGCATAGGAACCAAAACGAAAAGTAACATTATTTGTGTATGGCGACAAAGATTTTGGTTGACAGTGTAAACATATTACTTAACAGGCACATAAGCGTGCCGTTGCTCTGATGGTAAACTTCTCCTATGTCTCTATATGATTCAGTAGAAACGTTTTCTTTCCACAATTGCTCTGTCCATGTATTTTAATGTTATGACACTCCTACAGATAGAGTTCCAGGATTAGTATCATTGATACATGGCTGAAACATTATTGACTCAACTAATTGTTTTGAATATTTTCCTGAACATCATAAAAATAAATCTGCAATTTGTTCATCATCTACGCTTTCTTTTCGGTTGATTTTAGTGTAAATAGCTTGCGAACGTTTGCTAATTTAAAATTAATGTTATGCAACATGTTACGATATGTACTTCCCACTTATTGACATTTACGTTACAAATGTGTGTATGCTGAGCTGATCATCAAACTAACATGTGACTTTTTAAACTATTTTATCCATTGAAAAATCTTGGATTAAACTTTCTATGGAAAAACTTTAAGTCACTAAATTTTTCTTCTATTTCTTGGCTGTGAGAAAATTTCAGAATTACCTTTTCTCTCATTTTTATAATTATCAACACACATTTCAAGTTCATTCTGCAAGAATCAAGTGTCGAATTCGTTGATGTTTTATTGACTGCTATGTGGACAATTTTGTCCCTTGAGATGCAATGATGAAAGGAAGCAAGTCCAAATATGTATATAACACTTACCGATTGAGTAATCCGTTTAGTAGTAATCGTATCAGGCTGGAAAAGAGCATAGCGATGCAGTCGAAAATATCACTTTAGGATATGAAATCAAGTCGTATTGTAAACTTATTTCCATAAAAAAAAAACTGTATAGCTTCATTACCAGTGTTTTGTGCATGTTCTGCCCCTGATAGTAACTCAATAATCATTCGCACAATCCTATTTGACATTACCGATAATTACAAAACCTTGGATGTCAAGAAAATTTTGCAGTTGTTCAGATTCAAAAGATCGTCGCGGTATGGAGACAGCTCTTGATCATAAAATACATAATCTATACTCTTTCTTAGGTCTTCAATTTACAGGATCACCTTAAATTAGTTACTTCCTTTTAAATATTCCCTGGTCATATTTAGGAAAGGTGTGCCTTTTTAAAAAGTGGGTTTTTTAAATATTGGAATCATTACTGTTTAAGCTATTGCAACTACATGTGTTCCAAGTATGTAAGTTGCCCATTCATCAAAGAGATTATTTTACGCATTTACTTTTGTTTCTTCCTGCTTTAACTGTAATCCTGATTATTGGTCTGTAATGTGTTATTGTGTCTCTCAATTGTCTTTGCTAAAATTTGAACCCAGTGTTATTGTTTTCCTTTGAATAAAATGTTTCAATATTATAATCTATTTTGGTTCTCTTAAATCTTTCAACTCATCGTTCATTTTAGCTTATTTAACCAGCATTGTGATGACGTGGATTAATTAATACTTTTTTCTTAAAAAAAGAGAATATGAATATAATAAACACCTTTTATGTCCTGTTATAAATTGTTTTACTCTCATCAAACTATATATCTTTTAGACTAAATGTTTATATTTATTATTTAATTTTTTTCTTTTTTTCCATTTTCACTTTCACCGTACAAGTGTATTTTAAGCAGACATCTAATTTCGATCCATCGTTGTATTTTTTTATATAAATGGATATCAACGTCTATCTTCCACTGGACTCTTTTGTATATAAATCTTTGTCTGGCTTGTATTATGTGCATGTTCTATGTTTAGTTAGTCATTCTTCGCTTGATATTAAGTTATGCTGTTTTTCTCCCGTTTCATTTGATGCGTATGGTTTTTTAATGCTATATATGTAAGCAGCTAAAGCATTCCACGATTTTTTATTTTGGTATTTAAAATCATAAAATCAACTTATTTTATAACACTATTAACTTGAATAGCACATTTTGTCTCGATACCGTACCGTCATTATTGTTTTCATGTTCAATTCATTACATATTTATACCACCTATCTGAAAACTGTTGAGTTGAATGAACCGTTGTGCCATTATTTAAATTATTATTTAAATTGTGTAAAAGTTTTAATTAAATTAGTCTTGTTCTTCATAAAGGTTGCATTTTCATAAGTTTTTCAATTTTTTTCTCAATTCTAAACTGTTTCCATAAGCTTTATTCCCTAAAAAATAAAAAAAGACTACCTCTGAATTTAAGATAGAAGTGGAATAAGATATTCTATTTTACTGTTGTTACTACTATTTTATCTCCACCACCACCATCACCACCATCATAACATCAACAGCAAATACAAAAATATACCATTTTTACTCACAACGATATAACGAAGATAGCGGTGTTGGCGTTCGTGATGATTATAAAGTTCAAATGTCACTGAGTTTAGTGTTCGAGAGAGAGAGAGAGAGAGAGAGAGAGAGAGAGAGAGAGAGAGAGAGAGAGAGAGAGAGAGAGAGAGAGAGAGAGAGAGAGAGAGAGAGAGAGAGAGAGAGAGAGAGAGAGAGAGAGAGAGATATGTGGGATGATGTACACTTTTAACTTATCTTTAAAAAAATTTCATTCATATCGCTACGTCTGCAGTGTGGTAGTTTATAGTTTATAGTGATGTCTAGCACTGAGGCATCATCAAGACATGTGGCATGTCCCACCCAGTCACATAATCCTGACATTCTGGCCGACCATTCCTAATACTAACCTCTTAATGCTTGGCGCCAAGCGAGACAGCAGTTAGTACCATCTCTATAAGTCATATGTATGACTCGGCCGTGGATCGAACACACGACTTTCCGCATCCGAGGCGGACGCAACCCACGACTTCCCGCATCCGAGGCGGACGCTCTAACCACTAAGCCACCGGATCAGTCAGAGAGAGAGAGAGAGAGAGAGAGAGAGAGAGAGAGAGAGAGAGAGAGAGAGAGAGAGAGAGAGAGAGAGAGAGAGAGAGAGAGAGAGAGAGAGAGAACGGGGGGCAGGACATTGAAATTTATGCAAAATCATTTCGAAACATTACAGAAAAAAACTGAATGCTCTTTATGTCTGTTTAAGCTTTACCTATAAACTAAGAATAAATAATTTCATCAAATATCAAGTAAAGCACGGTGAAAGATTACATCAATAAATAAGATGTAGTATTTAAATTTGGAATTCAGTTATTTATCAATTCCATTTTCAAATGTATACTCCAGCTGCCGCCTATGTGTGCATGGGTTTTCCTGTTCGTAATGCAACCCTGTTTCATCTCTACAATGTTTATTTACAGATTTTCTTTCTAGTTCATCTGCAGCGTCATCCTCCATTACGTACTGCTTCCAAAATGTGAAACAATATACAACCAGAAACATATAAACATAAGACGGCAAGGGATTATTTGGAGAATCGAAAAAACTGTGAGTTCTCTATGCAGGAATTTATTTTCAAAAAGTGATTGTTTGGGGTGAAATGTTTTAGAGGAACACTTTTACTGGACAAACGTCAGGTGACATTTATTTCTGATGTTCATTTTAAAGACCGTTTTTGAGTCTTCTTTATTTCGCACATCTAAAGACGATCATTTTTATTTTTTAAAAAAAGGTTTTAGGCTTACAGTTATGAAAACGTATGCAATGTCACGTGAATGAAACAACAAACAAGTTGTAATAGTAGCTAGTTCAAACTGTGGCGGGTATAATACTGTGTCAGTATTGATATCACAAACTAATAAAACAACGACACGTTACACTTTTGCAGTTCAAAATGGAGATATGGCAGAATATGTAGAGTGCACACATACAGTAAAAACAGATGCCAAGTCATATGAAAGTTCTGTTAAAACCATGGATAGCAACGCAGAGGTTTGTAGTATAATAATAATAATAATAATAATAATAATAATAATAATAATAATAATAATAATAATAATAATAATAATAATAATAATAATAATAATAATAATTATGATGATGATAATAATAATAATAATAATAATAATAATAATAATAATAATAATAATAATAATAATAATAATAATAATAATAATAATAATAATAATAATAATAATAATAATAATAATAATAATAATGATAATAATGATAATAATAATAATAATAATAATAATAATAATAATAATAATAATAATAATAATAATAATAATAATAATAATAATAATAATAATAATAATAATAATAATAATAATAATAAAAATAATAATAATAATATATCTGGAAGATCTATAGCATGCCATTGATGCAATAACGAGTGTAATGTCTTGTAAGTGTATATTTTCCGTCTTTGTACCCTCCATATAATTGTCTAAACGTCCGATTGTTTGCAGTTAATACGGGTATGTTTTATTTCACCGTAAATAAATTTATGACAAATGACATTCAGTGTAATCAATATTTTTCGGAGACAGAACTGTAGAACGCTACAATTGAAGCGTCTAGGTTAGCACTTTATGGTCAAACAGCTTTTTCGTCACAAAATATTGACTTTGAAATATTTGTTACGCTATATATCGGGCAAAGCGTTTACTGTAAAAAGACCGATTTTTAGTGCCTCTGGCAAGGATGGGGAGGCAAACAAGTCACATAATCTTTTCCTAATTTGACTAAAATTAGGTATTTGACATTCTGATTTTTCCTAATTTGATTAAAAATAGGCATTTAATGTTTGTATTTTCTTGTCGTGACCACAACAATTAAAAGCTTTAAAAAGTATATGTACTTCACTAACATAATTGAGATTGCATTTACATAAATAAACTGTACTGTATTTTCTTTTCTTCCCAGCAATTTCAAAGTTTAAGTTTGTTAATGTCTTTTAGGTTAGTGTATTAATGGTTTCAGTTCTTCCATTTTCACAGAATCACTGTTCATTCCATAACCTATCGCGAGTCACTTAGAACCCACTTAAGTGAATCCATAGGTTATCGCGAGTCACAGACAATCCACTTAAGGAGGTTATATAGTCTCCTGTATTTTGTCTTCCAATGAGGCGCGCGTGTGTGTGTGTGTGTTTGTGTGTGTGTTTGTGTGTGTGTGTGTGTGTGTGTGTGTGTGTGTGTGTGTGTGTGTGTGTGTGTGTGTGTGTGTGTAATAGCTGCTTCAGCTTTAGTGTGGGTAACACATGGACTTGTCAAACTCAAGTTAGTGAGAAACAAGACGTTGCAGACAATTTATTAAAATTTTCTTTAAAGTTTTCATTTGTCTGTCTTTCCTAAACCCTTTGATAGATTTTCATAACACTTGACACGAATCATTACAAACCTAAGACAAACTCATTCTACGACATGTACGCTCGCTCCTTTGACCTTGGGAGTTAAGGTCACAAAGAAACTTGGATCTAATATTATGGTAAAATTATTTTATTATTTCAATGTATTTCATAGTATTTATTCCATACTTTGGATGAATCGCTAAAACAATTAAATCTACTACATGTACACTCAAACCGTAGACATGTTTTACAGCAATGCTTTAGACGTGGCCTTTGACATGAAGACCCAGGCCTTCTTGTCTACTAACATACATTATTGTATATTAAATGAAATTGTAATCTATATAGTTCACATGTTGGAAACTGGCTATTTTTTTTTTTTGGTAAACTGATTTTCAGTGTTATGTGTCATGGCATAAGTACATTTCTTATAGCTGAAATGCTATAACTTTCAATAATAAGTTATTGGTTTTTAAAATGAGTTGTAATGGAGTCTTTCTTTCCGCTAATGACATGCCCAGGCATCAATGAAACTTTTATCACGAGAAGCAAACAAGCATTTCTGTAAAGATCAATGAAATGAGCAAATCTAAAAATACATGAAATTAATTCTAAATCAAATTAATTCAAATCTAAAAATACATAGCTCTCATGAAATTAATTCATTAAGTTCCTTAAAGATTGCTTGAAATTATTTGTCGTATTAGCTTTGTTAAAATTGGAAAACACGCCACACATTCGTTGTTTCTATATATTCCCTTGAGAAGGTTATAAAGTTATATATATATATATATATATATATATATATATATATATATATATATATATATATATATATATATATATATATATATATATATATTATATTATATTATATGATATTATATTATATAATATAATATAATATAATATAATATAATATAATATAATATAATATAATATAATATAATATAATATAATATAATATAATATAATATAATATAATATAATATAATATATGTATGTCAGTTTGTTATAAAAGCTGGAATCAAACCCGCATTGTAAGTAACGGCGACGATCGTTTAGTTCTGGTACACAAAAGCTTAATTCACTCAATCTGATCTACATCCTTTCAATACATAAGGCTTTCGTTAATCCCTCTTCTTTTAACATCAAACGATGGTCACAAGTAAAGCTTGTGCAGAAAGTATTGCTGACTTCATTAGATACATGGAATGTTGTTTTTAATATAAGCAATTCAGGTATTTGTATTTATATATATATATATATATATATATATATATATATATATATATATATATATATATATATACATATATATACATATATATATATATATATATATATATATATATATATATATATATGATAATTTTATAAAAGCTATGTTTTCCGCACATAAATGCAGAATTCTTCATTATCTGTCGACATTCGCCACTTTGAAAGCAAACAAAGAAAAACATAAACTAGAATTGAAATTAATCTAAGAATTGATTATTGTCTACATGAGACATTATGAGTGCGTTTTTAAAATTGATGAATACGACTGCAACTATTATATTAGACTTATCTGTCTGAAACATAAATATGCACATTTAGATTTCTTTATTGTTTCATATTTGTATCAGAGCTAACTATTCTTTTTTTTCTCCAAGTTTGGTACTTAAACTATTACAAATACCTGAATTGCTTATATTTAAAAAACAGTGCCACTTCACCAAGTAAATATTATATTTGTTTCTAATGCCACCCTTACATTTAAAGTGTGTGTGTGTGTGTGTGTGTGAGAGAGAGAGAGAGAGAGAGAGAGAGAGAGAGAGAGAGAGAGAGAGAGAGAGAGAGAGAGAGAGAGAGAGAGAGAGAGAGAGAGAGAGAGAGAGAGAGAGAGAGAGAGAGAGAGAGAGAGAAATTTGGATTTTTTTAACCTAGCTTTAACAATTTTTCAGTCATATTGCTACGATGTTTGCACTGTGGCAGTTTATAGTGATGTCTAGCACTGGGGCATCATGCCGCATACATTTAAAGGTAAATATGTTATTTTTCTTAAAATGAGGATATTATTATAATTATTGTTATGATTATTACATTATTATTATTATTATTATTATTATTATTATTATTATTATTATTATTATTATTATTATTATTATTATTATTATTATTATTATTATTATTATTATTATACAAACCTCTGCGTTGCCATCCATGGTTTCAACAGAACTTTCATATGACTTGGCATCTGTTTTTACTGTATGTGTCCACTCTACATATTCTGCATTTTGTTATTATTATTAAGAATCGAGATGGTTCTTACTTGCCATCTGTACATTACATTTTAGTCAGGAACGTTCACCGGCAATAATTACTGCTGTTGATGAAAAGAATAATTTGTTGTCCTTTTAAATAAACTATCCTTTGGAAAATTGAATGTATATCGCGAACCCAGTTATCACATTTCTTTTCATAGATCTATGTTGAAAACTGATGTCATCAATCTACCCGGTGTATCAAGAGAATAGATCATATTTTTTTTGCTTTTTACCACCAAGATTACACAAGCCAAATATAAAAAGGAGATTCAACGAATGTTTCTAAAAATTATAAATTAAATAATTATAGATCTATAACGAAGTTTTTTGATAAAATAAAACTGCTGACTTTTCATAT